CAACTCATAAACTTTATTTTCCTCCTCACCACATGATCCTTTTCATGTTACCCACCAACTCATGTTTAACCAGTTACCTTGCACTGATGTCCCCTACGAGGGTTGGGCAGGTGATATCACTCAACGGTTTCTTCAGCATGTGTTCAATCCGCCTGCATTTCTTTCTGCATAAGTGTTTGGTAAAACCTGTCACATTTTATTGTTGTTTACATATGGAGAGATTGGTTGGAGGGGTGTAGCAGGTTGAAGGTTACACAGTAGCTCATTTAAAAGGACATTGGGACATGGTCGCGCTATGTCGTGAATTGGAAGGAGTTGGAATTCATGGGCTAGCCATCGGATCAGGTCCCAGTGGCTTAATGGTCTACGAGCTCACTAACCTTGTAACCAGGCGGTCCTGGGCTCGAACCCTGGCAATGGGTGCGTATTGTGAAGAGTCCCAAACTAGGACGAAATAGCTGTCCAATACTCTTTGCAAGTTTTCCAATGGTTCTTTAACTGATGTCATCTCATGATAAAATCCTCGAAACAATCAAACAAAATCCCTACGAAGCCAATACTTGAAAAGTTTACACTTACCCGAAGAAACCTTATATGTCCATACGCAGGTGATTCAAACTCTTTCCCTAGCTCCACCATCATAACTTTAAGTGTCATCTCAAGTTTCTCATTAATTTTATTTAATAATCAATTTAGTATGCCATTTTTATGCTTATTACCACTTACACATGTTAAGGCAGGCTGTTATTCTGTTGATCTTAACAACTCTATATCATTTTAAAAAGTACCAATATTATCAATAACAGTTATTTTTGAATCCTATGCATAGATATATATCTGTGGAACCAGATGAGGAAGTTATCAAAAAGGACTTGGAAGATAAGAATGAGAGAATGCATCGGCGCTATTGGAAACGGTTTTGAGCCGTATATCTGACAATCTCCAGCCGTCAGTTCTTAACATCCGGAGTCCTCCAACCAGGCAGTTTACACCTTCCTACATGGCTGGATCAAACCAACTACCGAAGACTTCATGGATTGACTCCAAGTCTTGACTTGACCAACCTAACTCTTTTCCAACCAAATCCTATGTCACCCAATAAAGCCGGTAGCTATGCATGCGGTATACTGTACAAGATGTATGAATGATACTATTATAACCAAATAATTAGAAGAAGAAAAATCGATAAACAGACACAAAGTTGGCAAATCTTATCACGACAATTAAATGAATGTGAGCAGCAAAAATAAACTAGAATTGTCATGAATGGTAATAATACATTCCGCTTCCGCGTGATAATCAAGACAAAAGAACAAAACGTTGACCCCAACCATTCTTTAGAACGTACATTCTTCAAGTTACCTTCTCAAAAACAAAAAACGCCACTGATTTTTGTTTTCATTTTGTTTCTAGCCTAAATAAATAAAAGAGATAAGACAGCAGAGTCTAGTGAATTCCGTTTCACATACATAAGATGACTTCAAGACCACGTATTCACCAGTCTGAAAGAGTGAAGTAGGCTGGAACCAGAATTATGGATGTGACCTACATCCTAAGTGAAAACAAATAATTTTCTTTGAAATTAACAGACAATAGCAAAATAGAAGAAGTAATGTAAAGGCCGATGACGATGAGAAGTCTGTAAACCATTCAATGACTGAAAAACACTGAAAATATAATTCCATATTAGTTTGTTTATTAGATGTGTCACACAGTGACGAAACAGTATTATTTACTGGATGACAAGGTTTCGAACACAATTTATTGTTCATAATCATACCAATTGTAATCACACGACTTTGAAACTTCAGTTTTATAGTTTTCTTTGTTCTCTCCTATTTGTCGCAGGGGTAGTAGAATTTTCCAGATATCTGGGACATGTGTTAAATCATTCCTATTACATGTATTTGCAGTTGATTCTATAAACGAAGCTTCCGTTGTTATCAATCTCTCCCTCCAACCTGTGACATTAGACTTTAATACTGTCATCCTACCCCATCCTATTGTATGGTTGTGTGTAACACCAACAATAAGGAATCTAAATCATCAGTAGTATTTCCATATGAGGAAGGCACCTCGGAAACCTTACGCAGAATTCTTAACAAGGTAGGTAGGAATAAAAGTGGTTGGCATTCAAACCCACAAACTCAATTAGAAATATGCTTTGTCGGTTAAATGATCCTGTAGAGCCTTTAAAACAAAATAACTCAGTTTATCTGATACCCTACCTGCAATGATTGTCAGGTCAAATACATAGGTCAAACTAGTAGAACAGGTGCAGTCAGACTAGCTGAACATAAAAACCTGGCAAAATCCAGATTAGTTGACCTTAGCAAGATAAGAAATCTAGAGAATAGTTCAGCTGTAGATAGCATTCACTACATGCAGTTACACATAGCCATACAATAGGATGGGATAGGATGACAATTTTAAAATCTAATGTCACAGGATGGAGGAAGAGGTTGATAACAGAAACTTTATCTAATCAACTGCAAATACGTGTAATAGGAATGATTCAACACCTATCCACCCAGATATCTGGAAAATTCTACTACCCCTACGACGACAAATAGAAGAGAACAATGAAAACTATAAAACTCCAGTTTCGAAGTCGTGATTATAATTGGCGATATGATTATGAAAGATTTGGTTCGAAACGTAATCCAGTAAATAATACTGTTTCGTCACTGTGTAATACATCTAGTAAACAAAATGATATTGAATTACTTATTACCACAGTGCCCAAGTTTAACACATATATTAACTGAAAATAAGGTTGATGTATGTACTGCTTTTGTTGCAAATGTTAGTAAGTTATAATGTCTCATATGAAAGGATTCCAGCATGGGCATTTTACTTAATCACAAGGTGTTTTTGTACGTCAGTGGTTTAGTGGCAGAATAATCGCCAATAATATACGTGGTCCGAAATCCGGCCCCCTCGGGCGACGCACTAATCAGCCTCACTTAGCCTGTAGTGAGCAAGGTAAAGACGGAAGGTTGGTTGTGAGGCTGGTAACCTTACCCTGTGAAAAAATGCCATTGCTACAGAATCTTCAAAGCTTATGTTTGAAACCCTATTTTCCACTTGGAGTGCAGAGGAATAAAAAAGGAAATAATGAAGTATACCTGATACAAATATTCAGTCATTTGTATCCATGATTCGAGATTTATGGACATAAGTGAAAGAAAGAATTTACAAAAGAATTTACTAAATTCACAGTGTAAATTTGTGAACTCTATGTTATTTGTTTTCATCGAGCGATTAGTTACTTATGGATTATGTTCCGTGCGATCAGAGACGTTCACCTTGATTAATAATAATCTAAAGATCAAAAACATAAGATTAGGGTGAAGCTTTCAATCAATATTTCATTGATTCCATTCGTTATTTGACCACAACCGATTTGTAATTACAGTGATGTCATCTCGTAACCTGAAAGTATTGGCATGGTTGGTACCTACTACGTCGGTGGCTTGGCGGTTAGGACTCTCGTCGACCATGCACATGGTCTGGGGTTCGATCCCCTGTCGACGCACACCTGATATCAATGGTCGGCCTGCAAAATTTGGGCTACCGATAACACATGCTGAAAATTCCATACTTGTACCAAAAATGCTGTGTGGTTTCAAGCTATAATCAAAAGAAATATTAAATTTTACGCTGACTTTTATTTTTTAAAGAATGTAGGTTGTGTGTAGATGATGAGAGTCAACGAAATAAAATGGATCCATGTTATGTTGCACCAATCTGTGTCCATTCTTTGCTCAGATTATAATATTGGTGACTTTATTCCAGACACCACGATGCTGCATCTATTTTTGTCTCAACGTTTACAAAGCACCGTGGTGGAGGGGGGATGATTAACAGGGCACTTTCATTGATAATAATGTCAATAGGAACATGAATGTGAAATTAAAATTAAAAGTTATTAGGAATGATGACAACAATTTATTAATTATAGAAGGGATAGAAGTCCCGCGTTTTAACTTTTTCTTAGAAAGTTAATAGTTTTGCGTCTAACATTTTTCACATCACATGTAATGCATGCCAAACAAGGTATCGTAGAGTTTATATACTTATTTGTTCGAGCACAAAGTCTCTTACACCCGCTTCTAGTCTTGTCTAATGAGATTGAAGGAGACAGTTGTGTGTAGAGAGTGTCCTCATAATTCGGCAAGATAACATTCACCAATTTCTTGCACAACACAAGTGATGAGTTAGTTTAGTGACATACCACTGTTACTGTATTTCACAGTGCAACAAAGTCTTTTTTTAATAGTCTAGGAAAGATTGACGGGGAGGAATACCGAAGAACCGGGAGAATACAAGAATTAACAAACTATGAAAGTAGAGACTGAGTGATACCAGATTTTCGTTACTTCCTTACGCAGAAGGAGTTAGACGAAATATCTTTCTAGGAGTTAATATGATGTTGTCGGATATCAAATTATTCCCTCCATGCTTCTTAGATCACGCTTCCCTTTTTTCTTTTTCCTTTTTAAATGGAGGACTTCCCATGTGATCAATTTGTTAACTAGCATATATTGCTGCTGCATTTCTATTGGATATTATTATGATGCTCATATCTACAAGGACATGTCTACAATCTGACCAATCAAAAGTGCCCATACTGATTTGCAGTGCTAATTAAAAAAATTAACCAATCATCTTGCAGATTTGTCATTATCGTAGAATTTTTAGAGTTAGTTGTACACGTGGAAATCTGAGATTGTGAAAAATTATTGATAATACAGCACACATTTCAGTTTTGTGTTAATTTTTGCTTGACCTCAATCGAACATTTGGTGAATATCAACACAACTGCATCAGCATATTACACACTTGATATTTATTCTAAATTCTGAATTTTGGAGTATGAAATAAACCTTAAGTTGTACAAAACACCAGAAGGCATATCATCAGTATTTTTCACTGCTCATTATTTTCCCTAATCTTCGGCATCAATTTATTCATTACATCATCCTACCTCACCTACCATGACATCCAATCTTCAAAAAGACACAACTTTGACAAAAATATTCGTCGGTGGACTACCCTATCACACAACAGATGAAAGTTTACGTTGTTTTTTTGATCAATTCGGCCCAATCGATGAAGCTGTGGTTATCACAGATCGTCAAACTGGAAAAAGTCGAGGTTATGGATTCGTAAGTTAATCAGAGTTTGTGTTAGTGAAAGTTCATATTAAACTTTACCTCCTCCTGTTTTATTGATATTATTATTACTGACAATATTTGTAGGGTGGTTTCATGTTCTCTTGGGAAATAGACAAGTTGTATGACTGCTAAGTAGCCCTATAATTTCAGAGTTCCTACTACTGGTGAGAATTACGCTGAAACCACTGAGATATACCTCTAATCATTCAGTGAGATGAGTTATCTAACTCAGGACTCATTTGCGCACAACATGTACCATGTTGAAGGCTGCACTTATTGTGTGAGGGCCAACGATGCAACCCAGAATCCCAGGGATTCAAACCCAATAAATACTGGGTCAAAGTCATTTACTTATTGGCAAGAAATCACATCTCTATGGGTATATGCTTAAAGCTTCATATATGTAAGTAGCTGTCTAAAATAATAATAATAATAATAAGTAAGCGTAAATTCAGTTAACAGACAAAGAGTTTCGTCTCACAGAAGGATACTAGTGTGATGGAACAAAATAATACCACAAATGTTTGGCAGGAAATCTGATGAGAAATTGGAAACGGTACAGTGTGTTTCTCGTTTGGTATGGGTGAGTTAAAGTTTGCGTCATTGTGCACCGTAGACACTATCAATGTCTTCTTTCAATATCTCATTCAAATAATTTGAGATAATCAGATTATAAGATTTGTGAAGATTTTGAATTAATTACAACTGTTAGATTTTTAGCCAATGCTCCCTAATTTTCAATGATTTCTCCAACTGATTTGGTTTGTGATGAATGTGTAACATTAGAAAGAAGAGAACACGAAGTTCAACAAAGATGATGATCTTTTCGGCGATTTCATCTTCAAAAGCCGTACAATCGCATTTAAATACATAATTTTACATGGATACAATACAATTCTTGTCTGATTCCACATAATTACGACGGTGAATAAAAGGTAATAATTATTTCCAACTAGATATGGCTTTTTTACAAGAGGCTTAGAAACAAAATTACACAGGATTAGAACGGATATCAAGTGTGTAAAAATGAGCATGGAAACAAAATGGAAATAATAATTTTCAACTTGAGATGGGAGTTAGGAGGTGTGAATATAGATTACAAGAGCCTTAGAAACACGAAAATTGCACAGGATTAAAATATAATTGTAAAATAGTTAATTTTTAAACAAATTCTAATTGTGAACGGGAAAAGCATGGAAACAAGTTCGATATGTTCTCTTAGCTTCCGTTTTTTTTGTGTTTTCTCCTCCTTGCGTTCTCTTTTTTTCGTTTGCTGTGTGTTTGATCCTTACTCTCTCAGTCTCCATTCGATTCACCCCATTTTTTTAGTAATAAAAACAGCTATCTTAAGTTTGTTTCCATGCTTTTCCCGTTTACAATTAGAATTTGTTTAAAAATTAACTATTTTACAATTATATTTTAATCCTGTGCAATTTTCGTGTTTCTAAGGCTCTTGTAATCTATATTCACACCTCCTAACTCCCATCTCAAGTTGAAAATTATTATTTCCATTTTGTTTCTATGCTCATTTTTACACACTTGATATCCGTTCTAATCCTGTGTAATTTTGTTTCTAAGCCTCTTGTAAAAAAGCCATATCTAGTTGGAAATAATTATTACCTTTTATTCACCGTCGTAATTATGTGGAATCAGACAAGAATTGTATTGTATCCATGTAAAATTATGTATTTAAATGCGATTGTACGGCTTTTGAAGATGAAATCGCCGAAAAGATCATCATCTTTGTTGAACTTCGTGTTCTCTTCTTTCTAATTTCCATATGAATGTGTAACAAACATAATCTAAAACCCATACATGTGACTCGTAGAGTCACCATGTCAAGATAAAGTAGGTATTTATCGAAGGTATTGATTGAAGGCAGCACTAAATCACGAGTTGACAAAGTCAGAATTTAGGGTTCATTTGATTCTGACTCAAGTGGCGAGTTTAGGGTCTTGGGCTGGATCCCTAGGGCGGGGGGCTTGTGGGTGCGCAGTGCTGAACAGTACCAAAGTGAGATGAAATACCCATTCAATGCAAGATCTCTCTAACTAGTACTGGTTTGTGACGAAAATCAAACAATTTTAATGAATCCGTGATATGGCGAAAATTCCGATTTAAATATCAAAAAGACAAGAGGAAGGAAGATTCAACGAAGATTATTTTTTTCGATAACTTCTACATTAGATTTTACAGTTGTACACATACACAACGTATTTAGAGAGTAATTCTTATTGACAATATTGCGGTGTCTTTCTGAGTAGCATCGAGCTGTTGAAATCAATAGAACTGATTCAAAGGCATCTGTGAGTGATAATCTGTCTCAGTATAACTCTAAACTGAATGTCAGATAAAATTAAGGCGAAAATTTATGCAACAGTTGAAGATGGTGAAAGCAATAATAATAATCGAAGACATGTCATCTACGTAAAGACAGTAGAATTCCATTTCACCAGTTACACCTTTTAAAAGTCGAATCTGTAATTTTACGAGGAAGAATTCAGTTGTAATTGGTCCTAGAGGTGATTCCATAGCAACATCACCAATTTTTTTGTAGAATTCCCTCTGAAATAAATTGTCACTGATTAATAATTTTTTCCTTCACGTTCCCCAGTGGAACATAGGGCTTCAAGCTAGTGGCTTGAAGTTTCTGTAGCAGTGTTTATTTTACAGGATGGGGTTGCTAGCCTCATGCCCAACCTTTCCACTTTACCAGCATTATTTCCGGCTTAGCGAGGTAAAGGAGTGCGTCGGTGGCCGGGGATCGAACCCCGGACCATGTGCATGGTCGGCGAGCGTCCTAACCGCTTTGCCACTGACACACAGATAAATAAATAGCCCTTGAATATTATGTATACATGCACATGGTCCGGGGTTCGAGCCCACGCCGGCGCACACCTGATATCTATGGTTGGCCTGCAAAATTTGGGCTACCGATATCCATGCTGAAAATTCCATATTTGTACCAAAAATACAGTGTGGAATCAAGCTGTAAATCAAAAATCAAAATCAAAATCAAATATACTTTACTGAATATTTTTTCGTCTTCAGTGGGAAAATAACCTCCAGACTTCTGAGGTTATGCCACCGGATAGTCCTAAACTAGGATGAAAGAGCTGTTCGGTTCTACTTGCTGGTTTTCTAATAATTCTCCAACTAATATCACTTCAGCTTCAAACTTGGATTTAATCAAACCTCTGTAAACGAATATTTGAAAATTATTAGAAAGTTAAAAAAACTAATAATAAAAGGAGAAATAGTAGTGGAACTACTAAACACAACAAATAAGAAAGAGTTTAACACATCCGCCATACAGTCATATAAGGAAGAGACATTTAAAACCCTACACATGCGATTCTTAATAAAACAAGAATTAGGATGGTATTCAAACATTTAAACTGATTTAAAGATAAGCTAAATGAGCATACTTGCCCGATTCGACATAATTATGTAATCTGCAACATACCTTGCACCAATGGATTCGAGCTGTGTTAAATTATCCGAATATCAAACCTATGTCTGACACGTGCAATTACAGTGACACAGTAGTAGTACTGGAGATGAGAGATAAGGGTCAAACAATAGCAGACGAAGTTGCCTGGAGTTCTAGTGAGAAGTCGTGACCTGTAGGGTTCACGCTGTCGGGAGTCAGGACAAATACTCGCCGATAACACTGGCCGGTGCTCGAGCTCAAATCATGAATTAGAAGATGTCAGACTTCATGGGTTGTTAAGTCGGGACCCAGTCACTGGATGGTCTATGAGCCAACTTTGTAGCCGGAAGGTCCTGGGTTTCGAACCTTGGTGGGTGCATACTGAGGATGAGTCCCAAACAAGGATGAAACAACTGTCCAGAATTCCCTACAGGTTTTCCAGGGGTTTTCTAAATGATATCAGCTCATGATGAAATCGTTCAACCAAATAAATATTTTTTTAGCACTGCATATTTGACCAAATAAATTTTTTCTATGATGGAACCGACGAATACTGTTAAACGAAAACAACTGAACAGAGTTCCAGTAACTTGGTGGATTGGTTACCAGCAGTAAAGTTCACCAAATTACTTCAAGTCAACGGGAAAATCAAAATCCAAATCAAAATAAACAATAACTTCTGACGCCTGTCGCACAAAAGGTGGCTCTCATTGCCCAAGAGGTCTAGTAGGTAACGTATAGACGTTTGAAACAATGGCAACTGAGGCTGAATCTCAATGAGAACACTATCACTTACAGGGAATCGCAAGTGCATCCAGATGACAAATTCCAAATAGAACGAAATGCGTATTCTGGATTCCACTGCTTGTCGCCAAAGACTAAATTACTTCAATTTAGCCTTCACAGTTTTAGTGTTTCAGAAATATTGTTAATGACTATAAAATCGATATTTACCACTAAAATTATTCAATGAATAAAACATCTTGTACTACTACTCATTGTAATATTGCTTATAAGGTTTAAAAAACATTCATTAATGTTAGGATGCAATGTCACGGTTATATTAACAACTTCTTGCGGTTAATTTTGTAAATGATGTTGATCGACTTTTTTGGGCCCAATCGCATATTTTATGTATCAACTTCTGATATGAACACGTAGGTGGTAAGTGACACCGTCACTCACTCATATACAAGCATGCCACCTATTTGATAAGTCCAAAGTGGGACGAAACACAAACCTGAAACTGAATTGATAATCTCCACTGATCAAGTCATTTTAACAGCTAGTTCACATTTTAACCTTAAGTTCGCTGAAGCCATTTCCATCAAGCGCATGAAACCTGATTTATGCGTCCAGAAAGAAGCGGTTATCAGCCTTTCTTTGCCCTGGTAACTGGATAATTTCACCTCTCTTTCCTCCGAATGTGAAATGCTAAAAGTTTCCATTGTGTTTGATTATTATTGTTCGGAATAGTGGTTAATACTGCATATTTATATATGTATATATTTTTAGTGTATGCGTATATTGGTCGATTGATTTTTGTTTAAACTTAACT